AAAAAAAAAAAAAAAAAGCAAAACAACAAAAGAGAGAGGGGGAAAAAGAGAGAGAGAGGGGAGGGGGGAAGAAAAAAAAAAAAGACTGCTGCAAAGCTGATCTGAAAAGCAAGGCAAACAAACTTTGAAAATAAAGGGGGAACAGGAAGTTTGGCAACGGTGTCCAATAGATATGGCAATGGTAGTCGGTGCGTGGCGAGACCCCCAGGACGATGTACCCGGAGCTCAGGGAACGCAGCCTTCGCAAGCCCCGCCGGTGCAGGGACCTCCGGCCGGGACCCCGCACACCCCCCAGACCCCGGGGCCCGGGGGCCCTCCCAGTACTCCAGCCCAGACCAACCCGCCAAGCCAGCAGAACCAAGGAGACAAACAACAACAGCAGCAGCACATTGAATGTGTGGTTTGTGGGGACAAGTCTAGTGGCAAACATTATGGCCAGTTTACCTGCGAGGGTTGCAAGAGTTTCTTCAAGCGGAGTGTAAGGAGGAATCTCAGCTACACTTGTCGTGCCAACAGGAACTGTCCCATTGACCAGCACCACCGCAATCAGTGTCAGTACTGCCGCCTCAAAAAATGCCTCAAAGTTGGCATGAGACGGGAAGGTATTGGGATTTCATTTGTTTTGCAAATTTTTTTTTTCCTCACTCGCTGCTTTTTGGGGTTTTGTTTTGGTTTGTTGTTTGGTTGGTTTGTTGTTTGTTTTTGGTGGTTTTTTTTCTTTTAATTCTTATTCTTTTTAACCTCCCTCCCCAAACCCAACCAGAACCTTTCCCTTCCCCCCCCTCCCCGGATAAACAGACAGAAACTTTCTCGTAATGAAAGAAAGAGGTGTTGGAGAGGGTGGGCAGGGGAGGCAGGGGCTCTTGCATGCTTTCTCCTGCACTCGTAATTGATTTGTGTTTGTTTTGATTTTGCTGATGGAGGTTTATTGGAAGTGGATTTTTAGTTTCACGCTGCTTTGGAGAGAGATGATTATTCTGACGTGCGGTTACTTTTCCTTCGTGTTTTCTCCTGCATGCTCAGCCTTACCCCCCGTCCCCCGAGCAGCTCTGTGTCTGTGTGTACGTGTCTCTGTGTACACACACGGAGCCTCACGAGATACACACACACATATATATATATACCCCAGCACCCTGCCTTAGATTGCAATTTTACACAGGCGGTTCAAATTACTATTACAATAGGACTCACCCTACCGAGGCTCTACAGCACTCCACTGTGGATTCCCAGCCGGATTTTTCCTCCTTTTAAAAATATGTATACACACACATATCCGCGTGTGTGTACATATGTATATATATTGCCGAGTGCCTGCCTTTCCCGACTGTTATTATCTCACTTTTTCTCTTCTTCCTCTTTATTTTCTTGTCCCTCCGGGAGAGGCAGTTGGGGGGAGCAGAAGGGACGGGTAGAGGGGGGGAAGAAGCAGCCCAGAAGTAAGTGTGGGGTGCTCGGGTCTCTGCAAGTCGAGTCTTTGTGATATAAAATTAGACGAGAAATGTGAGCCTGCAGTTTTCCAGTGCGTGCTGTGTGTGTCTGGACGCCGCTATGTAGGTTAAGGGTTAGGGGGCTTGGGACTTGCTGGGCTCCTCTCTTTGTGTTTCTGCAAGAGTAGCTAACCTTGTAATACGTGTGATAACAAATATAAATCAAGCACATTTTGAGGCGTTCTCCCTTCTTGCCGTCTCTCTGCCTTTGAGCCCTTTTTCTCTCTCTTTTTTTCTCTCGCTGTCACCGTGTAAATTTATTAACAAAATGAAAGGCCCACTTTCCATGGGCAGCTGAGGAAGGTGCCTTTGGATAATGCTCCTAGCCTCGCTGGGTGACCTGCCGGGGATGTCGTGGGGTGATCTCGCTTCCTTTGATATTTTTTATAAGGGGGGGGGACATTATATATATAATAACAGCAATATATTCAGTGGGCGAGAAATGCGTGTGGGACCAGAGCCGGGGATTTTGAACTGAAGTGTTTCTTCCCTCTCCCCTCTCCCCCCCCATCCCGCTCCCCCAGCCTCAAATCAATAAGCTGGTTTTAGGTGTAATGAAGAAAAATTGCTGGGCACACAAAGATGTATCCTGCATCTCTTGAAGGAGGGGTGGTGGTGGTAGTGGGGGAAGTAACTGAATTGTGGTGTGTTTTGGGAAGTGAGGATCTCAGGCTCCTTGAGGAAGTCCTGGCCGAGCGGACAGCATTGCTCAGCTTTTATTGTTGCTGTTACTTGACCTGGGAACTGCAGAGCCTTAAAACGGGGGTACAGGCTGAACTCTGGCTGGGAAAATGCCTGTTCTCCCTTCAGCTGACTTGGTTCGGTGTCACACACGCACGCACAAGCACACAAAGCAGGCTGTATTTGAACTGATGGTCGCAATTCAGATATTAATAGCTGTAGTTTCTTTTTTATTTACTGCAGCGGTCCAGAGGGGCAGAATGCCACCCACACAGCCAACTCATGGTCAGTTCGCCTTGACAAACGGGGACCCTCTCAACTGCCATTCCTACCTATCCGGATATATCTCCCTTCTTCTGAGAGCAGAGCCCTACCCCACCTCCCGCTTTGGCAGTCAGTGCATGCAACCCAACAACATCATGGGCATCGAGAACATTTGTGAACTGGCAGCTAGGATGCTCTTCAGCGCGGTGGAATGGGCCAGGAATATCCCCTTCTTCCCAGACCTCCAGATCACAGACCAGGTGGCCCTCCTGAGGCTGACCTGGAGCGAGTTATTTGTCCTCAACGCTGCCCAGTGCTCCATGCCCCTCCACGTCGCTCCGCTCCTGGCAGCTGCCGGCCTCCACGCTTCGCCAATGTCTGCTGACCGAGTGGTCGCCTTTATGGACCACATACGAATCTTCCAAGAGCAAGTAGAAAAACTGAAAGCATTGCATGTCGACTCTGCAGAATATAGCTGTTTAAAGGCCATAGTCCTCTTCACCTCAGGTAGGCAGCATTTCTTTGCTCTTCCTTTTTCCTTCCCCCAACTCTCCCCCCGCTCCCCAAGAACTGTTTGCTCTTGCAAAGTGTTATTGCCTGCACCCCATCACCGCTCCCTGCCCCCCAAGAGCCAGCGCAGTCTCTTTCCTTTTAGGAAATGGTGCCCTGTGGTCTCCCCTTCAGGGCCTCAGATCTGAGCATCCAATCTTCGAGGGAGTGTAAAATTTAAAAAAAAAAAAAAAGTAAATAAACCACATACACAAAAAAGACAACCAAAACACACCCCAACCCTCTTTGAATAATGCTGGGGATGGGGGAAGAGGGACCTCAGGGAGAGGCACCCATTCGCCACGAGAGACTGCGCTTTTCCCATTGAAAATAATATTTTATTTAACAGTGTAGCTCTGGGTTGTTGCATTTAATGACACGCATCCAAACAGCAGCAAAATCTGTTTGATGTTGTTAAATACAAGTCGTCCTATCAGTGAAACCACTTTAAAAAGAGGATCATTTTATGGGCAGCCAGGAAGGGAAAAAAGCCCTGCAGGATTAAAAATTGAATTAAAAAAAAAAAAAGTTAAATGCGCAAAGCTGAGTTTAAAATATGTTCCCTGCCATCCCATAAAATAAAATAAATCATCTTTGCAAAGAGCTGTCTCTGATTTAAACAGAATGTGGCAGTGAGCAGTTCTGTGTCATTTAAGCTAAGGGGAAAAGTTTGCATTTGTACCCAGCAGGAACTGCATAGTCCAAAGTGAGTAACGGGTGCGAAAAGATCATTACCATAAGTAGCCAGGGATAGTATGAAAAAGTAAGAGGAGACTGAAGCTGCCGCTCCGCGGTGTAATTCCGGGGTGGCACAAGCATGCCTCTCCCGAGGAAAAGACCTCGAGGTGTTTCTTAGATAATCAAAGAGAAGAGGGAAAAAATATGTGTCAACTTTTGCTGCCTAGAAATAGTGCATGAGTTATAAAGCAATAATTGAGTGCGTTGTGAAATCTAATTAGCTTGCACTAGAGTTTAACCTGGGTGAGTAATAAACCTGATATTAGCTCTGGAGGCTAAATTTTTTTTTTTTTTGAGAAAAAAAAAAAAAAACCTGCTCGCTAATTTGTGCACTGTGTTATCTCAGATTGCTAACTTTAAGGCTGCATCAGCAACCCAATGTGCTGGTGCCCAGAAGTTTTGGGATTAAGTTTAAAAATACATATATTTCTTCTGTAATTCATTTGGAAGCTTGGGAAAGTGGCCACGCGATAAACATATGAATGGAAGCAGGACCTGTAAAATAATTACTCATCGGAGTTTTTTAAAGCCTGATATCAGGAAACAGGAAAAAAATGTAGTTTATGTGGGAAAAGAAGGGCTCACAATCCGTTCCTTGTTGTGTTAAAGGGGGTCTGGGGAACGAAGTCATTTTCTGGACTTTGTCCAGGTTCTGGGTCGTGACCTAAACTTCCTTTTATATATTATTGCTTTACACATAAAAAACTTCTCTCTTTTTTTTTTTTCCCTCCCCCCCCTCCAAATTACTAGTCCTAAGGTGATCAATGAGCAGGGCGCATCTAGCCACAGGGAGACAGGGATCCCGACTGGGAAGGGGTGTACGTGGGGTGCTTATTTTCTTTTTTCTATCGTTTTCTAGGATGCATTTTCCTCTCCCTCGCTCAAACACTCAGCGAGGATCCCACACATGCTCACATCCCTCCCCAGCCCCTGGCCAGCTCACACCCACACCCCACACCAGGGAGTTTATTTCCAATCCTGCATTTTCTCCCAAATCACTTTTTTTTTTTTTTTTAGCCTTCTGAGAAAACAATCGTCCGATCCTGTCGTAACTGTTTAATTTATTACTATTTTTAAAATGTGAGGCCTGGCGTGTAAATTGCCTCCCAACTAGATAAACGTTTCTTGTTATCTGATTCTGAGGAAGATAGCCGCATGCAAAAAAAAAAAAAAAGTGATGCATGCAGCTTCTGCAGCACCCCAATAACACTCCCTGATGTAAAGCAGACGCACATAGATGCATATAATGTTTGCTGCAGCCTCTTTTAAGAGGAAAAAAAAAAATCTGTGTTCTAATGACTCGCAGAATATGCATGTGTTAGCCCTGTGCCTAGGAAAGCCACAGGGAGGTCAGGTCACAACCTGTGCTCTTTCAGCACAGACGTCTCTGATTTAAAGGGAACTTATTGTATTTTAGCGTATCAGAAAAAAAAAAAAATGTCCAGACCCTATCAGGGAGTTTTCTTCTTGTAAGAGCCTTTAGGTTTAAAAAGAAGAAGAAGAGGAAAAAAAAAAAAAAAGAGGGGGGAGTGGAGGGAAGGGGGGGGTGAAGAAAGAAAGAGAAAAGAAAAGAGGGGGGAAAAGAAACAGCTCAAATGAACAGAGAGATCACAGTTTGCATGGCTGCCTCTGAATAGGCTAAACTGACAAGATCAGTTTTAAAGGGCCACTTAAATCAGTTTCAAAGACTGAAGAAAAACGCGTTGTCTTCTTTGGGGGAGAATCTGTTGCTGGATCCGGGGCGCCATTATCTTTGGCTGGGCCAGTTTTTTATTATTATTATGTTTTCTATCACTATTATTAGTATGTCTTCTCATCACATAGTTAGGTTCTCCCCAATTATTTTCCAAGGGGGGGAGAAAGAGTGACTCGCTTTCCCCCCTTTCAAGCCTTCCCCGCCCCCCCAGCATTTCCACCTAAAAATACAGATATACGAAATAATGCTTGGCCAGCACCTCCTTGTCAACCCCTCAGGTCTGTCATGCCATTAGAAATCTCGAATCTTGGAGATTCTCAATCCTAAAGCAGACCCTCCAGAAGAGAGAGAAATACAAGCACACACACACACACATACAGAGAAAGAGCAGGATTGTCCCTTTTGGTAAAACCTACTTAAACTCTGGGGGGCGAGCTGATGGCGCACGATCTACACTTAATTCTAGCAATAAAAAGCTCAAATTAAAAATTAAAAAAAAAAACCTTTTTAATCTGATGATTGTTTTCTTTTTTTTTCTTTTCTTTCTTTTTCTTTTTTTTTTTTTTTTTTTTAATACTCTTCCTTCTAGATGCCTGTGGTCTCTCTGATGTAGCCCATGTTGAAAGTTTACAGGAGAAGTCACAGTGTGCTTTGGAAGAGTATGTTAGGAGCCAGTATCCCAACCAGCCAACACGATTCGGGAAGCTATTACTACGTCTCCCCTCCCTTCGCACTGTCTCCTCTTCTGTCATAGAGCAATTGTTTTTCGTCCGTTTGGTAGGTAAAACCCCCATAGAAACCCTAATCAGGGATATGTTACTGTCTGGCAGCAGTTTTAACTGGCCTTACATGTCCATTCAATAAAATATTTGAGAGAGAAAAAAAAATTAAAAAAAAAATAAATAAAAATTGAGAAGGCAGATGAAAGAGAGTGAAAGGAAAGCAAATGACATTTGGGTTCTGGCTGTTTCTTAAATTTCCTTCTGCTAAGAAAGGATGTAAAAGGATGTTACAAGTTTGCTAAGAGAAGACAGGAAAAAATTAATGGACTGTGAATTTTAAAAAAAAGAGACTGTCAAATGAACTTTTACAGAATGCATTAAAAACTCCCGTGTCGTTCAGAAAAGAAAAAAAAAAAAAAACTTGCTACTTATCATTTTTTGTAAAAAAACAAAAAAGAGAGAAAGAAAAAAGAAAGAAAAAAGAGAAAGAAGAAAAGAAACGATGGTGGGCTTTTTCTTTTTTTCTTTTTTTCTTCTTTTTTTTCTTTTTTGGGGTAAACTTTTTAAAAAAAATCTCGCTTAAAGTGCATTTAAAGGAAATTTGGAGAAAATTAGCAGAACGGAAGAAAGTAAGTTTTTTTTTCCAAATTATTAATTGTCCTATGTGTCTATGTACCTATAGCTGTTCTTTTTTGTATTTTTCTGGTTTCAAACCAGTTTATTCTGTGGTTCTATAATAATTTTTGATATAACCTTGGCTTCTTTAAAAAAAAAAAAAAACTGTGTATCCTTAAAATATATGTTCTGAAAGAATTAAAACTGAGTCCATGAAAGTATCATAGGAAGAAAGGAAAAGAGAAAAAAACCCCTCAACAACACAGTGATGGAAGCGCACTTAAGGTGGTGACCCAAAATCTAGCTTGAAGCTGAGAGAGCTATAATTATATAGACCCGAATGAACCACACGTGTCATATAACTAACCCCAAATCTAGGTTTTTTTTATATTTCGGACAGAAAATGAACTGTGCGGATTTATTCTAGGTAGAAGGAATTTGTGTCCAAGACACACTACGGTTTTGATTTAAAAAACAAGCAAGCAAAGTGAACTTTTGTAATTTGAATTGGGTTCCACATAGTTCATCATGAATTGTTATTAAACTCCTCTATCTGTTTGTATATTTGCAAGCCCTTTGTATTATAATAATTGTTGATATTTTCCCTTTTTAAAAAATACCATTGAAATCAGCATGACAAAATAACACTGTTGGCACTTATAGATAACGTGATTGATTCAGTATCTTAGAGTTTACAGTTTTGTGTTTAAAAAAACTGAAGGTTTTTTTTTTTAAGTGCAACATTTCTGTATACTGTAAAAGTTATAATAACTGAACTGTTTGGTCGAGTCTTTGTGTGTTATATTCCAAGGAAAATTGAAAGTATTCAGAAATTAAAATATTATTTGATATCTGAAACTTGTTTGGCTGTCATAAATGTCTTTCAGAAACCGCATTACTTCTCTATAGTTTGCAGTCATTTAAGTCCATAGGCGATTGATTTGTTTACTTGTCACAGTAAGTTTGTAGCAGATGTATTGTAGTGTATTTACCTGTTTAATTCCGGGATGGGGGTGGAGGACTTAAGTTCTGGTTTATCTCTGGTTTTAGGAAGTACTATGCTGAAATGGTAAACCATCAACCCCCATTCATCTAATCCTCCTGTTAATTAAAAATGGATTTTCTTGGAGAAGAAAAAAAAAAAAAAAAAAAAAAAGGCCCTTATTTTTGTCACACTTAAGTGCCTGCGTAGGAAAGGTATTGTTGTGGAAAAGTATTAGAAATCTGGAGATCAGTATCTATTTTATGATCAGAATGGGGCGAAAAATCTTTTGTAGATGTCTGACATAGGCGCACAAGATCATTCAAGCAAGGTAATAGCAGTATTGTAAATATAGGTCAGTTGTTTGCAATGAGTTTTTCTTTAAGTATGTGTGATTTTTTATAATACTCCGTAGTTGCCATCTATCGTTGTCATTGAGAGGTCTTCAAATGGAGTGGCTTTAGCTTCTAGCACTGAGGAGTCGGTTTTTAATGTATATATACTCTCAAGTGGATTATTATTTTTTTTTTACCTTAGACTGTGAAAGCATGACCACAGGTCATCTCTATATTTTACATATGGGATATATGTCTGTATGTATACTTGCATACATACATGCGTAGGCGTCCATGCATCTTTCCTGTGTAGCTCCAGGGCCCTCTCTTGCAGCCCTCGCCCTGCTGCGCTGGGGACCTGCCTGGGCGGGTGGCATAGGATCGGACACAGCATTTGTGAATTTAGTGCTATCCCGAGCAGGCAAAAAAACCCAACCCACCCCAAAATCTGAAGGAAGGCAAGATGATGTGGTTTTTGCAAGGGGTTGATACTTTGTTTTGTGTGTGTGTGTGTGTGTCATTTATTTTTTTTTCTCTCTCTCTCCCCCCACCC